TTATTTCATTTGTGTATTATCAAAATATATGTTTTATTGATTTTATGTTGAATAAAATATTGAATAAATCAATATTTTCATTCTTAATTATTCATTCTTTATTCTGAAATGTTGTGTATATTTATTATATTAAATGAATATGATGAATGAATATCAATATTATTGTTTATTTGATTTTAAAAAATAACAAATGAATATGAAATAATGAAATAAAATAATGAAGACAATGAAATGATAATGAAATAGAATAATCTAATATTGAACAAATCAAATAAAGAATATATTGAATATATCATTATTGTTACATTATTATTTGTTATTTCAATTATTAAATATTAATAAATTATTCATGAATATTTAATTGATTGATATTTTACATTTTCATTTTATTTAATAAATGAAATATAAATAATAAATGAATGAATAATAATGTAATATATGAAATAATAAAAAGAAAGATAAATAATAAAGAAATATGATGTATTTAATATATAATATAATTTATTATCAAATATAATAATAATATCAAATGATGAATTATTTTTATTTCAAAATATTTTGCATCAATAAAATATGTTGCTAAATATTTTGCATCATTAAATTTTGCATCATTAAATTTTGCGCTTTTTTTATTTGTTTCAATAAAATTTGCATCCTTTATTTTTTTCTTTCTATTCTTCTTTTATCATCTCTTTTGTTTTATTACACTTTATCTTCTTTCTTTTTATATTCTCTCCTTTCTACTTTTATTCTTTCTTCATCTTCATCTACTTTTTACTTTCTTTTTATTCTTTTATATCATTCATTCTCTTCTTTTTCAATTATTTGCTTTTTTCGTTGCCGTTAACCAAATATCTATATGATTTATTAAAGTGTATTAATAAACAATTTGAAAACTATTTTTTAATGTTAAATCAATTATGATTCATAAAATTTCATGATTCATAATACAAGTTATTAGTATTACAATAAAGAATAAACTATTAATATAAAATCATTTAAGTGTCACTTCAACACTTAAAAGTAACACTAAAAATACAAGAAAATAAACATATGCTTACTATAATCCAAAAGACAAACTATGAAATACAATTTAATAATGCTGAATGTTTTTATTATATTAACTACTAATTTATAATAACAGGAAGATAACAAATCATTTTTATAAAGCTTTTATAATATAAAATAAAAAATCAGTATTGAATTGTTTTAATTCAATAAATTTTCAGCTTCAATAGAAAAATTATGTAGTTATAGTAATAATCTATTTATTTTGAATTACAACAAATTAACACCAATAGTAGAAAGGAACATCTATAATGATATATTCTTAATAATTTTTTGTGATAATAAAATAAGGAACAATAAATACACTACTATATTAGATTATAATTTTTTAGAGTTGTGATAATCCTTTGATTAATAAAATGTTCAACACAAATTAGTTATAATAAACATATCTTTGTTATGTAATAAGTTGTTAAGTTATAAAATGAGTCAGTGATAAAGTAGAACAAAATACTTAAATAGTATTTTTACGTATCAACTGACTTAATGAAGTTATAACTATTATTATTTTTAAAGAGTTTGTATTAAATAGTTGAAATTATTTACCGAAATACATAGTCAGAGAAAATGAATATAACCTCCACTAGTTGAAAAATAGAATAAAAAGAAAATATATTTTAATTAAAAGAATTTTGAAAAGAATAACTACAAATAAAAAAATAAATTGATAATTCAATTTTTAAAGTAAATATTGTAAATGAGATATGCTATTGTTAGAATTTAAAATAATAACATATCTAAATTTTATTAGTATATAGTACACAATAATGAATAAAAAAATCAATGAATTTAATTTAAACTTTTCTTAATTTTTTTTTCAAAATATGTTTGATTTTTTTTCATTGTAAAAAATGTTCTACAAAAAACTCCATTGTTCTTCAATTAATTTTCAAACAAATTCCAGAGTTTGTCTTTGAATATAAATGACTTATTTATTAAATGTTAATAAATCTATAAATACAGTTAAATTTTCATTATCAAAATTTTTTCTCGCTTCTTATAATTGATATATCTCTGTCAGGAACAAAATAGACTCAACTAAAACCACATTTGATAAATTCCATTTTTCCCTTTCAATTTGTGATACTGTTTTTATTTTTATTATTTATTTCAATACCATTTTAATCAGCTTTTTTTTTTGGGCAGTGTATTTTTGGAATAGTTTTCAACATTAGAAAATATCTTAAACAATTCGTTGGAAATAGAATCATGGGGTTGAATTGTTTTCAAAACTTCCAAGAAAAGAAGAGAAGATAAAAAGGAAAGAATTAAGAGATGAAATAGAAAAGAGAAAAGGAAAAGAATATGCAAATGTCAGTAGAAATGAATGAAATAGAGAGTCTTGTATGTGAGTCAGGGAATGAAGAGAAAAGAAATGAAGAGAAAGAAAGAAAAGGAAGAAAAGAAAGAAGACAAGGGAAGATGTGGACGAATGAAGAAGATAATAAATTGATGAGAGGAGTAGAAAGATATGGAGAATCGAAGTGGGTAGAAATATCAAAAGAAGTAGGAAGTCGAACAAGAAAACAATGTAGAGAACGATATATTAATCATTTAAAACCGAGTATAGATACGAGTCAATGGAAAAGAGAAGAAGATGAAATTATTTTACAACAACATTCAGTTTTTGGGAGTCATTGGTGTTCAATTGCAATGTATTTAAATAACAGGACAGCACGATCAATTCGGAATCGTTATTATTCATTAATTAACAAAAAAAGCAATTCATCATGTTTTAAACCATCAACTATGACTCATTATAAGATATTAACTTCTTCTTCTTGGTTTTAATTCTTCTTCATCTCATTCTATTTTGTTTTTCTTCTTTTTTTTGTTTTTTTTTTTCTGATTAAAAACTATTACGGTAATTATCATGATTAATTGAGTATAAAAATAATTCGCAACTAGTTGTTTCTTATATTTTATTGACTGTATTTCTTGTGTTGTTTTTTTCATTCTCTCAAACAAAAGAATAATATTATAAATTCTGTTGATACTTTATTTATTTTTGGTTTTGAAATAAAAACATTCTAAGAGAATAAGTTGTTTATTTTTGAAAAAGAAGTTATTTGTCGAGTAAATAATAATAAATCAATTCTGACTTACTTAATAGTTATTATTTTATTATATTGAGAAATATTTGAATTGTTTTTTAGCATCTTTTATTTCTTTTGGAATAAAATCATTTCAAAGTTTCTCAACCTAGATGGTTCTTCAGTTAAGTTGCTATCTATTTTTTATTTAGATATATTGAGTATTTAAAATAATCAATGTTTTGGTGTTATTTATGATGAATAAGATAAATAATACTATAAATCATATCATTGAATATGAACAAACACTTAACAAACACTCTTTTCGTGATGCTACCAATATATTCAAATCAATTTATTATTATTATTATCATATTATTGGATATTAATTAATAAATAATATTAATATAATAAATATTTGTTTAATAAAGACTCATAATAACATAATAATATAGAAAACTGATAATTAGACTAATTTTCATTAACAACAAACAAAATAATAAAATTACAACGAATGAAGTTAATTAAAAGAATAAATGAAAAACAACAATAAATATAATACACATTGTTGAAATGATTTTAATTGTAATTTACGTAATGAAATTTAAACATATTGTTTATAACACATTTTCATCAAAACTAAATCAATTAATTCATTGAAATTAATAGTCTTACAATTTCTTTCTTCATTCTTTTGTGTTTCATCTTGACTCTGGTTTATTATTTCTATTATTTCAGTTATTTTGGAATTATTTGTTTTTTTTTTACTTTTGATGTTCATTGTATATTCAATGTAATTATTTGGATATTTATTTTTATTATGATAATATTGTTTAATTCTATTAGAATTAATGATAAAATATAGTTATGATGATGAAATGAGTGAAATGAAACAATTATTATATTTATTATGATAAACTTTATATCAATAAATGATAAAGAATATGTGCAGAAACACAAGAAGAATAAAAAGAAGTAAAAACACGTAATAAAAATAGAGAATATAATAATTACCAGGCAACGAAAAAAAGCAAATAATTGAAAAAGAAGAGAATGAATGATATAAAAGAATAAAAAGAAAGTAAAAAGTAGATGAAGATGAAGAAAGAATAAAAGTAGAAAGGAGAGAATATAAAAAGAAAGAAGATAAAGTGTAATAAAACAAAAGAGATGATAAAAGAAGAATAGAAAGAAAAAAATAAAGGATGCAAATTTTATTGAAACAAATAAAAAAAGCGCAAAATTTAATGATGCAAAATTTAATGATGCAAAATATTTAGCAACATATTTTATTGATGCAAAATATTTTGAAATAAAAATAATTCATCATTTGATATTATTATTATATTTGATAATAAATTATATTATATATTAAATACATCATATTTCTTTATTATTTATCTTTCTTTTTATTATTTCATATATTACATTATTATTCATTCATTTATTATTTATATTTCATTTATTAAATAAAAT